AAGAAAAAACAAAACCGAGAAAAAAGATAAAATAAATAGAATTAGATAAAGGATAGGATAAATTTTTGTTTTTATTTTGCAGATTGATTCCCATTGATTATTGTCATTTAGTCATACTAAATATATACCCCAACAATATTGAATCTCAAGTTACTAGTCAAGGTCCTCGAGAGGTAAATCTCTAACTTTCTTTAGTACTATTATTTGTGTTCAAGCATGGCGATCTTTCTCATATATCTGTGGTGTGCATGTATTTTCTATGGAGATATAAAAATTAATTTTAAATTATTTTTTTTTATACAGGTATCACCGTTTCTCACAGTAGAAGTACATTCAATCAAAGCTTCAGCGCTTCATTCCAAGTTATCCCATCTGATTCTATCCCATTATGACTTGGCTAGTACAACAGTAACAGGCATACCTATGAAAGAGGAACAGAATGCCAGCTCTTCTGCGAATTATGATGTGGAAATATTTCATTCCTCCGCTGCACATACTGCGATTTTAAAAGGTTTTAATTAACAAAATTTTTTTCTCAATCCAAATTCAAAATATAAAATTTTGCTGATTTGATTTATTGTAGGCAATCCTCAAGATTCAGCATTGATAAAAACATTCAGGCGTTTCGAAGAAGGATCGGAATACGAGACAGTTACGTTGAAGTGGTGTACGCCACGTGGCTGTAGCGCATCAGAGATGCAAAATTGCACAGCAATGCATCGAATCACACCAGTCGACGTAAATAGTAGGCCGTCGTCTTGTTTGATCAACTTTCTGTTAAATGGCCGATCAGTGATGTTGGAAATGGCTAGGAAGACTGGCGGAAAGACTATTTCCCATCTATTAGCAGCACATGGTGGCGAGATTTTTATTCATACCCTTTCTACTGCTCGAAGTGTGCTCGAGGATCCACCCTCCATTAGCGAAGGATGTGGTGGACGTGTCACAGATTATAGAATAACCGTAGGAATGTTTTTGTAATTACTAATGTTTTTTATTTAAATAATTTAATTTATTTAAATAATTTAAGTATTTAAATAATTTATATTAATATTAATTTTATTATTATATGAAATATTTTTTGATATATTTTTTATTGTAACGAGTTTTTTATTTATTGATTTTGGTTTATTAATATTTTTGCAGGACTTTGGTATTCTTATACGAAATAATATACTGGGACCACTGAAATGTACTAATTCTAATACTGTTGGACTAGTAGAAAAGATGAGATCAAGACTGGAACGTCACACTAAATATTGGCCTATGACTATTTCTAGCACTCTCATGTTTAATTTAAAACAAGTTTGTATTAAGAAAATTCTACATCATATTTTTGAAAAAAGTTTTTGAGCATTATCAGGTTTTATTACATGTCTAAGAATAATTATTAAAGTAACTATTAAGTAAATATTGACTATAAAAAATAATTAACTATATTTTAACTGAATATAAAAATGTTTTGATTAAATATTTTAATTTATCTTAATAATATTTAATAGAGATTTAAAATTATTTTAGAAACTAAAAAATATTTAAAATATATTAAAATTTTGTACTGTATCTTATTATTAAATATTTTGAAATTCTAGAAAATTATCAAATTATCTTAAATTTTTTATATAGGTGATAGATCCACTTCCAGAATTGATGGTAAAAGAGGAACTCACCACAGAGGAAGTGCTACAGTGTAAACAAGTGATCTTTAGTGTGCTTGGACTAGAAGCAAAACACGAGGCTTTGCCTCTGCCGAGCATCGGCGGAGGACGTGGTGGCAAAGGAGGAGTACGCAGAGAAGAACACTATCGTTTGCTGTGGGATGAGATAGAAACATTTCTCAAGCATCATGCGAACAATTCGGCCGCACATACTGAAGTCCTTAATTGTTTACTAGAGATCAGGAACAAAGATGAAAAGGATAAAGTGGAGCTGGATCAAGCTCTACGGGAGTTGGATAGGTAATTATATAATAAAATTTGATTTTCAAGTCGTAGTTTATTATTTTAAACTAAATTAATATTTTTTCTTTATTGCAATGATTTTACTTTTACATTCTTTGTATTTATTTGTTACTTCTTAATTCTTATTTATGATTTACTGCAATGAACATCAATTTTATTGCACTTTATAAATAATTTTGAAAGGAAGAAATGAAAAAAGAAACGTAGATACGATATAAGATTCATAGATACAATATAAAATATATTGTAATGATCATTATATTTTATACATTATTATGAAAATTGCATCAGTTATGAATTTATATTTTATTATTATTACAATCTCATTTTAAGTAAAATTTGCTATAAAAAAATTTATAAACAAGTATCGGAATGAAAATTGATATAAGAAAGACAGATTATTTAAAAATGATAAAAATTGAAAAGTTTAAATATTAGAGATTTAATCTAAAATATAATTAAAAAATTAAAAGTAATCTACAGATTTAATTGAGAAATGGAATTCTGAGGACATAAAATTATAAAATTGCGAAGATTTGAAACACTGAGAATCTAAAAGTCTCGACGACCTAAACATCGATTTCTTATAGCTTTGGTAAAGAGGACGTAACTGCCAGAGTCAGCGTAATTAGAGCGACAACGGACTCGCCGATGTCGCCGCCGGCGAGTGTATCGATACCTCTAGCCAAACAATTGCACAAGGGTAACATTGCCGCGTCGAAGAGTCTCTTGGACATTTGGTTGCAACGCAGCGCTCCAAAGGATAGAAAACCAGATTTCCACGGTAGAATCAACAGCGACGGTCTTAAAGCGAAATTATATCCCAATTTGAAGGATGCGACAGGAAGAGAGCCTAGAGAGACCATGCTAGAAGGATAATGTATAAAACAGCCGAAACTCGTTGTGTAAAAAAACTATATGTAACATTGTAAATATAATCGTTTGACGTATTAATAGATTTATTTAACAATAACGTTCATAGGATGTATTTGATAAATTAAAGCTATGTAAAAAAATTGAATAACGGTAAAAAGATTTATATATTTCTTATATTAAAAACCTATATTTTTGATTTGTTAAATCATTGCATTGACAATCTTAAAATATTAATAATATATAATTTATAATTTTTTGAAATTATTGAGAGAAAAGGAAGAAAATATTGTATTATTTTTTAGATATATAATAATATTATAAACAATAATTATTACAAAATTTATATAAATATTTTATAATTTCACAGAATTGTGTATTCATAAAAAATTGATGTTTATAAAAATTAAATAATTAATTTTTAACCCAAAAATTCATGAAGGATTTATATAGTCAGAGAGACAAAGCAAAAAAAATATGATTGGAAAATCTCTAAATTTTATCACAAATTGAAAAATTCAGAAATTGAAATCAATTCAGGCAAGAGTCAACAGATTTAATAAAAAATAAGGCTATATAAAGAGAATTGAGAAAGCAACAGGATTGTTAAAAACTGGAATGCACATTAATGTTTGTACAAACAGTAAACTAAGAGAATTCGACTGGAATATGATAATTTAACTACGGATCAAAAATGAAATCAGAATTTAAGGATACAATTGTCGAAATGATCGTCATTGATTAATCTGATGTCGTTCGAAGATCCCACCTGCGTGAGACGAAAGTGTATCAGTGGTACAGCATCATTTCCAACTCCCTCTTCCTCTGCCGCTGGCCGCTTATTCCCCTCTGCACCCCTCCTGGTGTTTTATTAGTCGACACGTCTGCCGAGTGTCTGAGCCGCCTAAGCGATACATCGACCTCTGTCGAATCTATAGTTCACCTCGGCGTGTGCTCGGTCACGCTAATCGATAAACATGGAAGGATGCCAGAGCGAGAGGAGCAAGGAGAAGAGGAACTCCATCCGCGTGTATTACGCGTAACTAAATGTGACGCGCACACAATTTGAGAGAGGTAGATAATGAGACGGAGGGAGATCTATGGATGGAAGAAAGTGTATACTTAGAAAATTGGAAATTCACAAGTAATCAATCATAATTTAACAATCATAATTTAAGATCACTTGTAGTATTAAGATATCAATAAGATTAAGATGTTAAAAATTAAAAACCTTAAACGGTAGGTAATCTTAAATCTTAAGATCATACCGAAGTGATATAAAACGAGAGATAAAAATTTGAAAATTATAGGTGCTCGACTGCATTAAGAGTCCGTAAGTCCACTCACACAACAAAGTCTTAACGATTCCTTGGGATGTCCCGGACTCCTTCCTCCATCCCATCTCGATTTATCCATTGTATTATTTGCTCCTTATTTGCTCCAACACGAAAAGGTAAGAAAATTTAGAGGAAAATTATGTGATGATTAAACCGATCCATTTCGAGCGAGGCCATTACTTATGCTGCACCTTGTATAATGCAAGCCGCTAAAAGAGAGATAGACGGGACGGCCGTGAGGGGACGAGAGGGTTACGAGAAGGACGAAGTGGAGGAGGAGGAGGAGGAGGAAGAGGACGAGAAAGAGGAGGCGGGTTGCGGAAGGGGACCAGTGAGTACAAGTGCATGACGTAACAGTTCATTCATCCCGAGATAGGCGATAGAGGATATCCCGGTCAATGGTATACTTATGCATGTAAACGCGCGCATATGTGTGTACGTATGACGCACACACAAGTATGAGTGTGCAGCATGCACATGTCTGTCGCGCTGCTCATTTTTTTCGGACGTACGCGCCACGTGCATGCATGCGTGCGTGCGGAGATGAAGCAACACGTGGTAGAATGTGGAAGTAGAGGTGTCCGAGTGTCCGGTGTCTTCACACGAGCGCTTTTGCATTCTGCAAATTTGGACTTTTTACGCTGAAGCGTGCTGCGAAGCGTTCACCTATTGCGACCTTAGATTTTTCAAGCGTTACTTTGGAGGATCACAGAACACCTTCCGCTTGACGATAATTTTATTTAGTGTGTGAGTTATAAATTATATATAATATTTTGCTACTATAAACGGTTAATATATATGAGCAAGAGTATGTTCAATAATATCATAGAGTATTGAGCAAGGCAGAATTTTAGATGTACTAATCTTTTATTTTGCAATTTTA